TTTTCGCACCTTCTGCGCAGCTTATCTGCGTTTAGGGCCGGGACATATTGCTTGGCAACCACTTTGAAAGTCCAGTTCCTCGCCGAATAAAAAGAGCTAGAATAAGAATCCAAGGACTGGATGCCACTTTCACGAAAACCGTGATCTCTTCTGATTGCACAACCTGCTTTGCCATTGTCGATCAGTGTAGGTGCTTTCCACGCACAAGTGTGTCCCTGTAAGGCAAATACTTCATAGCCGGGAAACAGTGTTTCTCCTCCATTATTGCTTTCCCACTTTACTCCTTTTCTCTTTACCGTCGACGGGTATTTTGTAATGAGTCAGAGAAGAATACAGACAGATGACACCATTCTCTATTTTACTTTTAACAGAAAAGGAAATACACTGGAAAATTCCGGTATATCGAATGTCTGTTCTCTTCTAATTATTCCTTGAAAGAATTGATCCGGCATCAATACTGTGACTTTATTGCCACTTCATTCGTTTAGTGCTTGGGAGACTTCAACCTCCACCTTAAGATTATTAAGTTAGTCTGATTTGACCGATTAACAACACAAACCTACGTTAAGAATTATTTCAAAGTAAGCTAAAAAGACAGTCCGCGTTACATGTAAATAGAAACACTTTTTGACATAGCGGCTCTTACGAGGAAAGTACAGTTTGAGCGAAAGAAGTAACCCGAAACCCAATAACAACGGGACTTAGAACCACTCGACTCAAAATTAACGCTGTTGTTGTTGCTTTTTTCAACCTAATTACCGTGACAAACCGCTTGCCAAAAGCAAGTGGCGCAGGACTTGACTCCACGAAGTTTTCGATTCTGATTAACAGGTAGAAGATCAATTTTGCACCAACCGCTCTAAATTTATAACTTTAATTGTGCACTTGTTACATCAGCCACCGGAAAAAAAGTATACTCCCGCCTTGTGTTAATTTCCCGCTACATCACATCTGTCTGTTTGTCAGGCACCGATAGACGTTGGGTATGTTATAATTTAGCTTAGAAGTTGGAAGTTCATATTATATTTGCGTAGAAGAAGGAAGATTCATTTATGTCAAAGTGACCAATGCTGAACCACCGTTATATCTATAACATATCGCAACAACACTACAAAACATAATTTTTCACGATTCCGAGGGTTGAAATAGCTTCAGTGGTGTCTTGCATGGCGACAGGAGATCGTCCTGCTCGAGGTGTACGGTTGTCACTGAAGCGCTTAGTTAGTTCTTACACTGAATTCGTGCAGCATAAAGAGACTAGGTGTATTTCCACTCTCCCCGAGATCGGACGCTAGTCCATCGCAAGGATATCAGCCAGCATTAAGTTCGCCGGTGCCCATCTATACACCTGGCTGGTACAACGCTATGAGCCCATCAAGGCTCTAACTTACACCACTTGGTCCTAATTGAGCGCGCTAACCTGTAGGCCATGGCCCCTCGCCTCCCTCTTCAAAAAGATATTCTCGCAAACAAATTAGTAGTCAAAAAAGTGTGTGTGGAAAGACCAAAAAGTGTTGACATCGGGGATGAAAAAACAAACATTCAATTACAATTTACCTCAATCATTTGTATGTGCCGAGTTGAGAATTCAGCTCTAAAATAAATGTCTTACGGCCCTGCGCTATAGTCGAAACGCGCGGACCGTTTCACTCTCTTTAAAATGATGGTTTAACGCGCTTGAAAACGTTCTCAAAACAAACTTAATTTTTGTTGATGATTTCCAATCCAAACAACAGGTGTGATGTTTTCCTCTGGTTGACTGGTCTAATTCCCGCGGATCAACAAGCAAAACAGCGCTCTTTTAACTCACGTCTTGTGATTGGTTAATTTGAATGATGATCTCAACCCATATAACATTCTGAGTTCATCTTTTTACACCAAAAGGTGGAAACAAAATGGAGAATCCTTAGGCAAAACCCGAGCGCGAAGAATCGAGAAATGTCCTAGTCGTTTGGGATCGTGTTTTTGCTTCGCAGCAAAGGTTGTTTTCTTGGGGTTTGAGATTCAAACGTGTATTTTTACACTTGTTGGTGTCGTAACATGACATACGGTTGAGGTTTCTACGGGTAAGTGATTATTTCACTTCATTGAGTCTTAGTGTTGAGGTGTTCCCAAAATCATGGTTGCTTACCCATACGTCGTGATTTTCGATTGATAATGCTCGTAGTTTAGAGGCATAAAGTATTTTTAAGTGCTGTTCCTCAATTTGAGTTGCTGCGGAACAACTGGCACATTGTTAAGCCCAGACATCAACTTTCTGCCAACTAGTTTATCAAAAGCCTCTGCAGTCCGGAGGGTTTCGCTTCCAAAACTGTAGTGAAATAAATTGTGCGCTTGGTCGAGCATTCGATTTCGCACTTCCATTTAATAACTCTGCGATGTTTTATTTGGAGCTTGCTGTCCTTAGTAATTCATTGCCAGCATATTCAATGAAAAGTTTTCAAAGTAGTCCCTGACAGCAATATACTGAAAGCAATTGGCCGTCCGTTTGATCAATTTCCTCTCAACTTTGATTTTGGATAAGAGAATTTTTGGATCGCTTCATAATTGGTTTCAGTAGAAAATTATTCTCTGACAAAAGAATTAGTGATAATCTATCCACCCTTAAATGCCTGATTGTGACAGACTTAGAGAATTTCCAACATGTGAAGGAAAGTTCTGGTTCTGAAGTCTGCAGAACGTTTGTTCTACTGACGAAACAGAAGTTAGCTAAACTTGTTTGGACTGGGAACGGTAGGTTACAGAAAGATCTTTTGTTTTGAAATTGCTAAGTGCATGGACTTGTCAAGGCAATGAACTATCCGACGACACTTCTCTGAAATTCAAACAGGTGTTGTTTAGGTCAGCCATTTACTAATGGAGCCTCAAAACAGACTAAGGGATTTACCAATTACCATATTGTTCCTGCGATATGCTCCGCAAATTAATTGGGGTTAATTTTGCAGGAAAAAAACCTCCAGGTAGAGCAATACTAATGTCAATCATCTTGTCGCCGTGTAATATTTAACTCTTTCTTCTGTCGGTTTTCAGTATGCACGAGTTAATTTTCGTCATTTAAAATCTTGGTCCATTTATCAGCTGTCAATTAGAACATTTTTCGTTTGTCAGTAATCTCATTTCGTAAGACCCTCAAATAGCCTAAACGAGATCCAATACAAAACGTACTTTTGGACAGTGGGTTAGGTATCTCGTTCGGATGGCATCTCCTCTTCACCGAAGAATTTTAGACATTTTATCGTACCAGATGCAATCACGTTTGTGATTGCTTTATTTCATGACCTCGTCATTGTGCTAATGTCATTGTAAAATCAATGAGGATCGCGGTTTTTCTGGTTCCAGTGATTTGACACGCCCTTATGCTTTAAGTTTAAAAACATGCACCAATAAGATACGAGTTTTAACTGTTCGAAAACAAGAAGAAATTTAACTTGTTTTCAAGATAGTTTTCCCGCAAGACGTAAAGTAATTTGGCTGTAATATTGTTCCGATTTGTGAACGAAGCTGAAATTTGTTCTTCATTCATTTCCGTGACCATAGTACATGAGCTAAGAGCATGTAATCAAACGTATCTGAAGTTTTTACAAGTAGTGTTCCGCTATTTGAATTCCACAAGCAGTTTGTTAGTTTACGGTCTAAAAGAAGATAAACACGCAAAGCTTTCTGGTTGATCAAGCGAATCACCAAAATTGTTCGATTCACTGAGCGGAAAATGCTATGGATGGCTTGGTGAAGAAACTCTTCACAGACGGTTAACATAGCGGGCTTTGCATAATGAGCTTAATGCCTGTGGCGAAAGCACGAAAGGAATTTTTCATATACAAAGTAGGGGCGGATTCCTTATTTTATGGAGAGAGGGAGGGGTGGGAGGGGTTGTAAGCGCGAGCTCCAAAGGTGTGTCACTTCCTGAGGGGTCTTGTAAGAAAGCCTTTCCTGCATTTTGAATGTCTCATAGGGGAGGGGAGTGGCGTTGTTTTTACTTTAACCTTAACCCTGAATCAGCAGCTGTTTCCAGCTTGCAAATCAAGAATGAATATACTAATTGCCCTCCTCATTTTGTCAACAGATATCTTATGGCTTCTGTTTCATTGAAGCTGGTCTTATTAGCCTCCGCTTTTGTTCTGCTGGGACATAGCTCTGCTCAGGGTAGGTCTAGAAACACAATCAGCATCACTAGACCAAAAACCTAGGTTAAGTAAGAGATTCTAGGTGGACGCTTGAAATTCTAACTGGCGGCAGCGAAGAACCATTTGTGTTTGCAGAATCTTTAATTGCAATTCTTCAGCTTATTAAACTCTGTAAAGTGACCTCCGACATCGTTGAGAGAGTTAATAAAATATGGCTTCTGTTGCACTTCAAAGAATACTTACTTATTTCTTAAATATCTGTGTTCGGGGTTGTTTTAACAACTTTTGAAACAACTGTGATTTAAACTACCGATCAAATACGCAACGAGTCTTAAATAGGAATATTTCAGGTGACAGGAACAAAGCCAACAAAAGTTTCTAAAAATTTGCATTGTCCTTGTGGCCTACTTAATATAATATTCTTTTGTATGTGAATTGTCACAGAGCTTTATGAAGATGAAGCAAACCTCGAGCAGTACAGCCCACTACTAGGGGAATATTTGATTGATTACCCAATACTAGAGGAATACGGGATTCCCACCGTGGAAGAGTTCCCCAGGGAAGATGAGGATGATGATGATGAGGATGAAGTCAATGAAGACGCTGATTCCAGCGAAACAGAACAAAAAGCCAAAAAAGGGCAAATAAAACATCAAGGTTACAGGAAGGAATTTATTTTAGCAGATACAGTATGAAATGTGTAATTATGTACAGAATGTCCTCCAACAAGAGGAATGCTCCACCATATCAGTGTGTTCACGTTAAGATGGTTTAGAAGAGGGAGTTACTGTTTTTTTGAAATGAGGATGAAGATTTAAGATGTTTTCACGATTTAACACAGCGTTATAGTGACATAGGTGCACATTTAAGATGGAAATGTCCATAATGTAATTGTGCAAGGCGGAACAGCGCGGAACACGTACCCTAACCCTGATAATAGCTAATAATTAACCCTAATAATAGCTAATAATTAACCCTAATTACTAACATCCAACATCTAACGCTTTAGCTACTACTTTCTTACTTGTTAGACATGGAGTCCCATTACGTATAGAAAATGATGAATAGGTACGTAAGCTCAACGTACAAATACAACGTGGCTAAAAGAAACTTCTTGCTGTCTTTTTTGCAGACAATGAGCATGCACAAAAGACATCCTCTGCAACGAAACTTAAAAGCGACGCACGCGAAAAGCGGCAGCTCCCTCTTCAAGGTATTATCCTGATTTCAACATACAACGTCTCTTTACTGCATCCTTTACATTTCTTATGGTACTTCTTGTGAGAATTTGGTCGTGAATAGGCCATTTTCGAATTTCTTTTAACCTCTTTCTCAAAGCGAGTCTTGGTGTCCACCTTTCAAATGAACACGAGATTTCACTCACAGGCAAATGAAACTAATTTTCGTATGAATGGTCGTGCAGCAGGCCTCGCTTTGATAGAGAGGCTTAAGGAAACTCGGAAATGGGCTATTAAAGCATGTTAGACACTTAAGTTTGTTTTACATGACAGTGTTCTTGCAAAAATTCAAACCACTGACCGCTTCGTTCATTGGAACGATGTCACCGGTGGCAGGGTAGAGCTCTCATTCCAGGTCTTTGCAACGTATTTGCTAAACCATGTCAAAGTAATAGTGCTACCTTCATGTTACTGAAATATAGAAATAATGCTCCAAACTAAATGTTGAACTGAAGCAAAAGCGACAGATATTTAGCTGATATATTATGTTGTTTTTGCTTCTTCAGATGACCCTGTGGTTATCGCCCGCGAGAAGCTACAACGAGCAATCAAAGCGGCCAAAGCACTGAGTAACATAGAAAACCAGCTTGGATTAAATCCCTCCACGGTCGAGCACAAAACCGAGAAACTAGAGAAGCAACTCAAAGACGAGGAGAAAAACTTCAAACAACTTGCCGATCAAACGGACGACAAAGACAAGAAGCAGAAATTCGTCAAACTCGAAAAAGTTGCAGATGAAGACGTCAATGAGGCCCAGAGTATTTTAAAATTGATCGTCAAACTGGAAGCCGCTAAGTATCTAGCGAAGGAACGAGCTCAAGAGGAACTCGATGCGGCTCAAAAGAACAAAATTGCTTCAACGCCGCAAATGGTTCTTGGACAACCATTTACATACCCTCCTCAAGCACCTGGATATTTTGGGGGAATGTCGCAACCGGCTTATCAGCCCATGATGCCGGCATATACGGCTAGTTATCCACCGCAAATGTTCCAAGGGATGGGTCCCCCCAGTGTGGGTTCTGCACCTAGTGTGTTATCACCTGCTAGTTTAGCTGGTCCAACGAGCGCGACGCCTCCTTATCAGCCCAGTTACCAGGGTAATACGGAGCTACAGCCAATAAACCCAAGTGAGTGTGTGATGTTATTTCCTCTTATTCACTGAGACTTTCTGGAGGACAAAATGAAAATTCCTAAAATGACTGGCGGACAAACAAACAAAGCTGTTCTGAAATGAGAAGAGTATATGAATCTTATTTTAAGGCACAAATTCTAAATATGTTTTTGGAACCGGGGAAAACCGTTATTGCCGTGTGCATACAAGCGAAAAAATTATATGTACCATAGTTGCTTCAATGAAGAACCCTAACCGTAAATTTAATTGACGTGTTGTCAGCAAACTAGCCATTTTTTTTACAATGTTTAAAAAAGAATGACGTTAGTATTTCGTTTCCTTCAGTCAATGCACCTCAGACCGGCGTGTCAGCCTTTCCACCCCAAAGCAGTGCCCAGCACAGCGTGGAGTCCGTACAACCTGAGGCTGCCAAGGTGGCAAGCTACTCGCCAGAGGAAGATAACACCGATATCAGCCCAGGAGATATGGAGTTCAGTGATATGGAAAACACTCCACCGGCAAAGAAACCGACAGTTTCACAAGTCAGTGCTGGCAAGGTTCAGTCCGATGCGCACGGCTCGAGCAGTAATGAAGCAAAAGCACAACAGACGCACATTAAACCACAGCCGCCTAGCAAAGACACCGGTCTTACCACAAAGCATCCTGCTCAACCGGTGGCACCCGCTCAACCGGTCTCTCCTGCTCAGCCAGTTGCACCGGTTCAACCAGCTGCTCCAGCTCAACCATTCGCTCCTGCTCAACCAGTCACGCCTGTTCAACCTGTAGCGCCGGTTCAACTAGTCATGCCTGATCAGCCAGTCGCCCCCGCCCAACCAGTCGCACCTGCTCAAACAGTATCACTTCCGGTACACACGATCGAATCCGCTGTTGGCCAATCAAATAGTTTTATGCCACAGTCGGCACCGCTGACCGCATCATACAACCCCGCGGTCGCGGCACCAAATTTAGCATCTATGTCAAGATACTTTGATTCATCGTCCAATTCTCCCAACTTGTTGCCACAGCAACCATATTATGAACCGCCAAAACTTCAAGCTCCCCAGCAAAACTTTGCACCTCACCCAGAGCCAAAGAAACCTGCTCCCAAGAGCCCTACATCTGAGAAGCCGGAGGTTTCACCTTATTCTGCTTTTAATGTAAGTATCAGCGGGTACATGCCATCTGTTTTGTCAAAAGATGAAAGGTTAAAAGGGGGGAATGTAACTTTGTTTTTATAAAATATCCTTAGTTGTTCTTAGGAAATTTGAGGTGTAGTTCGCGCCTGTTTGTTGCATAGTTTTTCAGTTGCACACACTGTGTGGATGTTGTCCGTGTTGAAGTCATCTCAGTTTTCAATTGCAAATAGAAATATTAATCCCGTTACTGTATCGTCAAATATTTGTTTCAGCTCTAGTTTTGCATATTTATGATACAGCGCTTTCAAACTGCGAGCACGACGCGATCCGCTTCTGCCAGACTAACCCCGCGCTTACTTACGTTGTACAATATTCTGATCGCGGGTTACCTTTTCAGAATCAACCAAAAAAAAACTCAGTAACTCTTCCTCCAAGTAATCAGCTGCATATAGTTTGCGCTTTGTTTCGAAAACTTTAGCCTGATAAGGTGAAAATAACATTACTCTCAAATTATGTTATTGCAGGACCAGCCCCAGGTTTCAGCTCCTCCAAGTCCTGCAAACTTACAACCTCCAGCGGCGTATTCCGGGGAACAGGCGCTTTCAAGCGCGTACCCCACGAACTCGTTTTACCCATGGAACAGTCAGGCGCTCTCATCCGGCAGTCCACAGTATTCTTGGAGCCCTCCAATGTATTATCCTCCGGCTGCATCGTATCAAGCCCCGGGTAAATACGAGATTTGCTTACGGTCGTATTGTACAATGAGCAAAAGCACAGCCTCTGTATTTTTGAAACCTGCTGAAAATATTAAGTAAATTCATATGTTGGTTTGATTGATACGAAAGAAATATTTTTGGTTGATTTGGACATGTTATGGAAGGAGAATTTGAAACTCCTGTGCAAGAATTTCCACCTCTGTATTAATTCAGTTTGTTTGTTTCAGTTAATCCGCTGATTGCAGAAGCGTACAGAAAACTGCACGACACGGAAAGAGCGAGTCTAGCCATGTCCAAGATCGAGGAAGCGATTGGTCTATCACCAAACTCGGTGAAGCACATTATCAATGACATTGAAAACCAAGCTAAAATGGAAGCCAACCGATATGAGGACGACATGAGCAAAGAAAAGGCCGAGATAACCAAGGAGAAAGAAAGCCTTGAAAAGAACCAATTTGCAGACGATGCTCAAGCAAAAAAGAAAATCCAAGATGATGAACAGAAGCTGAGAAATGACATCAAAAAAGAAAGCGTCGCAAAGCTCGAGGTGGACAAGATTAAGAAGATCGAGAAAATTTTGACCATCATCGAAGCAGCGAAGTATTCTGCTATGCAGAGAGCAAAGAAACGAATTCACAAGCTCAAAGCTGATGAAGGCGTTGCTGATGGTGATGATATTAGAAAACGCGACCTCGAAGATCTTGAAAATGACATCAGACGTCGTAGAAGGAACGAAATTAATATTTGGCTCAAAGGCTCAAGGAATCGCATTGACACGAGTCACTTCTTACGAAACCGTCTAGGCAGGCTGGGAAGACAACACGAGGAGGAAAGGTCGCGGTGGAGTTTAGACCAGAAAACTGTTTTACATCATTCAAAAAATTCTGAGAAAATCAACAAAACTGATGACGACCCAAGGGAAAGCAAGTTGCACAAATTGAAGTTTTTTAAAACGCTCTCATCCAACAAGAAGCTCGACTCAGGAAATCAGTTCCCTGTGGCAAAGAGGGCTGATGTTCCCACAAAACCAGAAAATTCTGCCAACGCATTTATTATGGCTAAAATGCTTGATAAGATGGACAAGCTGTTTAAAATTCAAGCTGATATTTTGAAATATCTCAAAACAGAGCATAGCATCAACAGGTTACAGAAAAAGCCATTTGCCAAAAGGTGGAAGCGGAGTCTACACAACTCGAAACATCACAAGAAAACTCACAAAGACATCAAGAGAAATTAAGAAAAGAAATGCGAACTAAGGTTGAAAATTATCGGACAAACTACCCTCAGATTAGTTAAACATTTTTTCGATGATTGACCAGCTCTTGCAATTACTTTTATCTCTCAACATCGCTCACAACCTGCTTCGGTCGCACTTGTGTTGCCTAGCAACCGCTATCTATAGCAACAGTTACTTATCAAGTAAGCAACGTTGCTTATGAACTATAACGTTAGGCAACGCAAAGGCCAGTCCCTGTTCCCAGGCAGCAACCAAATGATACCCGTAAAAGATTTATTTATCTTGGTAAGTCTGTCGCTTAAGCATTTATTTGAACAAACCGGGGCAGTGTTAAGTGGAAACAAAGATGACAAAAAATATTTGCCACAAAATATGACTGGCACCACTCTCAGTATTATGTAGACATAAGTTAATGGGACTTGGTAATGGGACAATAAAAATTCACTTCCTATATATAATACTGAAATGCTTGGTCATTTCCTGTCCCTTATCGAACAGCTCAGATAATATGATATTCCCTTTTCAGACCTTCGTTGTCTGAAGAATATGTAAATATAAGTACGCTTTTCTCCTCGAACGACAGCAGGGAAGTTGAGAGTCATAATATGTAGTATGTATAACTGCCATTGGATAGTGATTTAGTGTATTAAGGATACCAAAGGCAGGGTTCCTTTACACTGATTTATATAATTGTAACATTTAACCACGAGTAACATGCATTCCAGACAAATCCGTTACATGGTAACTTGGATAGAAACACGACTCTGCCAAGTAATCACGTGGTTTAGGAATACTGACAATGGGATGAAATATGGGTTGTTAACTGAGGAGGAAAAAAATTAGGGGATAAAATTAGATATAGAAAAATGTAAATATGGAAAATTTTGATACTTGTATTTAATAAATATGTCTGTCGAAACAAAAGGCTCAATTTGATTTGATGTCCTTTTGATATAAAAGAGGACTGGGGTGGGATTTAATTAGTGATACATGGAGTGTTTTTGAAAATAAAGAAAAGAAGAAATAAATATTCACGAGAAAAAGAAAAAGAAAAAAAAAAAAAAAGAAAAAAACAAAAAACAAAAAACGGTGACCAAACGCTTCAAATTAAGGATGTAACAGTTTCTGCCTCCCAAGACAGTTTTTTGCTTGACTTCCCAAATCAAATTATGATTGAGAAAAGGTTATAATAAAATCGGGATGGACGGAAAAACGTTTGCCTCAAAGTTAATAGTCAACGAGGTGTCTTCGTGCTGAACTTTATTAAGCCAAAGATTTTCTCTCCGCCGCTCACCCAGTCAAAGGCAACCTTGTATTTTTGTTGTAAACTTTCATCACTTGAAATTCTCAAGTGCATAGATTATGGTAAAGAGAGTTAACGGTGATGTTCAAGAGAAATTTCCGTGCAACCTGAATTCCCCACCAGTGATTTAATTCTCGGCTCGTCGTTATCTCCGATGACAGTGGTAAACATTTGATTTGACCCCAAAATATAATTACAAAGTCAGCCATGCAGGTTACTAGAGTAAAGGAAGATAAGAATTGTCTTGGTACCGGTCAAATTCTCCCAACTAGTGCTCAAAGAATCATATGGAAACCAATAAGAAGAATTTATATGCTATCACCAGCTAAAGATGCGAGTGATGGACCACCCGTCAGTGAGAAAAGAGTTAACGGTAATGTTAACTATCATTTTACAGAATTCTTAGTTCAGAAGTTTGTCATTATAGTAGAACATTGTCTGGATCAATGCTTTTATTAGTTCAGGCATTCTAGTATTCGCGCCGCACGTTTGGAGAAGGCTGCTTGCAGTCTACGATTAATGCTTAGTGAAAGACTGTGTCTTAATTTCGCCTTGTGTCTATGGCATCAGTAGAAGCACTGAAAAAGAACATCATTAGATACTCCCTCGGGATGCCTCGCCCGTCACCGCAGGGTGTCCCCGAAGGTTTTCCAGGTTGTTTCGTCAATTAGTACGACCAGTGCCCCTTTATTTATCTGTCTCGCCCCAAAGCACAACACAGGGACAATAACAGATTCGAATCCTTCATCTCCAAGTTCCAACAACCGGGCCTCTCCAGAAAACTACAAGATGAAATTAAACAAGAAAACCGAAGCGAAACCTACACCCAGATTCAACGACCACAGACGCTACAAGTGATCTGTCATTGCTCTTCACTACTCGGCGGCGAAATACGTTACAAGAATGCCATTAGATCAACTTGAAGATCTAAGAGCTCTTAGATCTTTCTTGTGTCGACACGCATAATCGAGCATGTGACAACTGTGTCAAAATTTACCTGCCATATTCTCTCAAGGAGGCAGGTTTCTTATTCCAATAACCACATGGTTTAAATTTCGTAAGAAAATATTTACCTCTAAAAAGCATTACCAGAAGTCGCAAACTTGCAAGGGTAATCCTTGTGCATCGGAGCAGAAAGAAAAAATCCACTGTCGAACGTTTTATGACATATTTAGAATTGTTGGGACTCCGCACTTTTGTTAAGATATATACTGACAATTCAGCTTCGGATCTTTTCTTCAAGCACATTGACTAGAAAGAAAAGACCTTTTATATCTTGCACTGGAGAGACAATGTAATCAACAAAGGTTTACGTTAGTCACATCTATGGTATTATATTTTTTCTATTCAACCTAAGAAACACTGTTTGAATTTACCGTTCCAACCGTGGAGTTATTGACTGGTGTTGAAGTCAATAACATTGTTATCAGGAACATGGCCCACGACGTCTGGTTGCTAAGGAGTACTCTTATGACTTGCCTGTTGCTGAGTGCTTTGGCAGGTTAGTAGAAATTTCAAGCCTCTTCTAATTAAGATTGTTGAACGTTTGAGGTTTTTAAAACAGTTCACTTTAGTTTGTTTACAAGTTATTGATATCTCATACGTAATCAGATCAGTGTTTGATTGAAATTAACACAAAAAGCTAGTGGGCTATAAGAAAAGATTTTGCTCACGTTCCTGCGGTATTTATCCAAGAGTCGATGTAGTGTCAGATATAGTCAATGGAAGTTTGTAATACAGACTTACTCGCAGGCAAATACTGAGTGTGCTTTTATTGAACTACGTTCTCTTTTTATTTGAAAATGAGATTTTAACACCTTGTTTTAATTGCCATTTTCATTGGACAAATATCAGGCAACCATTTTAAGATTTTTACACGCTTTCTTACGGTGCGAAAACAATTGAAAAAGAAACCCCTTCTCTTCACATCAAGACAAACTCCAATAATCGAACAATATTGACAATAAACAAAAGGTTATGCCGAAAATACTCAGCTTGGAAGCACCACACATGAAAGCTGGCAATCTCATTTAATTTATAGTTTGTGTTGCTTGAGAAAAAACCTAATGCTAAACTGTTTATTCACATATTCGCTGTCATAGAGAGCGTACTCAGTTTTATAAGAACCTAAAAGAACCTAAAACTTCATTCCGTTAAGTTACCCAGTGCATTCTTCGCACTCTACAACTGGCCAAAAACATTCAAGTTTCTTGTATTGCACAAACCTATTTATGCAGCACAACGGTGTGCATATTGTCTTTAAGAGAGTGCTTTTGTTTTGCCTGTTTAGGAATTGCATTGGCAACAAATGGCAATCTTTCAACGGACCAGACTGTTGCATCTGATTCCAGAGATCGTAGATTTACTTCAGGGACACAAAACATCTTGATAAGAGACAATTCATTTGAAGATGAATACCGAGCGAAACAAAGAATCCATTTTGTACACAATGGATCAGCGCAGGTGCGATCCGCGAACGTGAGATTAAAAGATTCGACCGGGAGAATTGAAACTAAGAAGAATGTAAAGGAAGGGATCAAAGAGACTGGTGCCAGGAAAACTCGGATGCACATCCTTGATAAGTATTTTGTTCATCCTGAAATAATGAAGGACAAACCTGGTGACAGAAACGGTTCAAACAAGAACGAAGAAGCATCGTTACCAGCACTTGTACTAGAAGGACCGAAACCCGGTACGGAAGGTAGGGGTTTTGGAAATCGCGAATTTGGAAACGAGACCTCAAATATGGACAAATACGGTGCAGCTTCAGTGGAGGGAACAAAGATTGTGAATGCTGCATCGCTTCTCGAGAACTCCTCGAGGTCCCATGACTCGAGATTAACCGAACTACTGAAATACCCGGATCGAAGTGTCGGAGATACACAGAGAACCTTGCGTTATTATCTTCCAACTCAAGGAGAACATGAACTCCAAAGGGCAAAGCTTAAACTTCGTTCTCGCTACAGATTCCTGAATTCGCTCATACGACCACAGTTGGTGGGAATATCGGACGATATAAATGATTTAGATGCCCTCCGAAATCAAGCTAAATCGATAAGCCTGAAAACATTGAAGAATAGTTTAAAATCTGAGTCTGGTGGTCAGCACAGCGAGGGAAGCGCGTCGATTGGAGAATACCCTCTGAAAGATGTAAAACAAGAAGCTTCCATTGTTAAGGAAAGAAATGAAGGAATTGGATACAATACCAAGATGGAAAACGAACCGCGATTTAACGCTAATGACATGTTTCTGCTAGGAGCCCCAGATAAATCGAGCTATTTTGAAAATGCTTTCTTGGCCAATCCAGAACTTATACACAGTAAACCTGGATTAGCTGTAAGGCCAACTCCACGCTGGAAGAAGTATGGGGCAACAACCGCCTTAAAAGAAGGGGAAATTTATAATACAGTGTCGGAGAAATTTGGAGGTAGTAGCGACACCACTAACTCAGGCCTGGAAGGTTTCGTGCATCCAGAGGATGAATCTGATTCTAACGAGAGTGGACTTGGTTCTGATGCAAAATTTAACGCAGCTCTAAAACTCGCCATCCAATCTGATATGAGATTAAACAAAGCTACTTCTGGAGTCTCGCTTTTATCGTTTAAGGACAAAGCCATGTCCCACATTGAAGAAGAAAGTCATGACATATACAACGAACAAAAATTCAAAGAAGACTATGGTGCGGGTTACTATAATGGTAATGCCAGTCTTGAATCTCAAAGGGTAAGTCCTTCGCCGTATTTCAGTCCAACAAAAATGCGAGATTTTCGAAAGGTAACTACGTTAAGTAGCTACAAAAGAACGACTATTCCTCATTGGAAATTCCGTTCTCAGGACGTGTACCAGTCATCGTCTTCAGGTAGTGGGGAAGGGTCTGGAAGTGGAGATAATTATCTGCCTTTACACGAAAGCCATGGTAAACAGAAACATGCTAAGAAGATACACAAGGTTTCCCCATCAACAAAGAACAAGACCCATGCAGGTGATCTCAATTTACCAAGTTTACAAGGGGTCTTTGACTTTTTCGTACTGTTTTCTTTTGTTCCCTTGTGTTCAATAACTGTACTTAACTCTTATCAGGTATCTTTGGTGCTCAAGACAAAGAGACAGTAAAGAAATGCGAGAGAATGGGAAAAGCAGGTAACACATTTGTTTTCAATGTCTACACTGTAAACGTTTTGCGACCAGAATCCTCGATGGTACATTTCTATCTTTCAATGAATAAGAATTGAGGAGACTACGATCTAAAATATGCTTTAGTATCAAGGTCTCTGAACGAAAACAGATATAGACGTTGTAGGACAACAAAGAAAGGATGGCCCTAGTTGATTGTGAATTCATGTTTTGTTTGTGTCACCTTGTTATGGCTGGAAGGGTAGTTCTGCCAAAGAGCACATGGAATAAACAGAACGTCAACGTGGATAAGGCTTTGGCCATTCGGGTCAAGAGTTTCAGAGCCATTTACCAAATTTTAAGGCTTGCGAGGAAAACTCTTTTTTTTTTAAACTATGTTAAGTGTTTCCTTAGCTTTCAATTTAATTTAATTCGTTTCCGGCATTTTTTTCTTATAGACTACAGGGACAAATGTCCTTCTGGATGGTTGCCATTCGAGGAATTTTGTTATTTATTTGTACCCAAATCAAACGGAAAATGGGAGGAATTTCCCCTAAAGTGTAACGATGAAAACGGTCTGCTAGCAATGCCTAAAACAGATAAAGAGTTAAGATTTCTACAACGCAAGATTTCGTCGTCGAAACGAAGAAAAAAGTATTTTTATATCGGCCTGAAGAAGAAGAGCGACAACTGGACATGGATCGATGACGTGCCTTACACACGTGACGTCCACGTGAAAGATGAGCTAGGTGACAAAAACTGCGGAGCTCTTTCCAAAGATGGCGTTCACATGGTAACATGCAGTGAGCCCAAGGCTGGGTATATTTGTGAAATTAGAACAGGTAATGTTTTCGATTATGATTTCTTTAGTTTATCGTTCATGATGAAAATTCACGCAGTGTATTAATTTTTGTAAATCGGTCATTGTAAGGGTAAAATGCAGACTGCAGACTGCAGACTTTTTAACTGAATCGTGCTACCATTTCCATCATTTAGAGCTAACCGTAAACAGGCTAACCTGAGTGATATTCAGGCTAACCGGAGTGCAGACTCTCACTACGATTAGCCTGAATAATCCGGTTTACGGTCAGCACCCGATAATGGAAATATTACCGCGATAGCGATATACACTAAAAAGTCTGTAGTCTGCAGTCTGTATTTTACCCCCGGTCTAGAGTCTGGAGCCTGCAGTCTGCAGTCCGCAGTCCGCAGTCCGCAGTCTTCGTTTTACGCAGACTGTTTTGTAAATTGTCTTTTTGAACACCTCTTGCAGGAGTGGAGGTATTCCGCATTCTCGCCTTCGGTGATAGCCTCACAAACGGTTTCCATGGTGATGACAAGAGCCACACCCCTTACGCCCAGACACTGGAGTATCTGTTAAACAAGGACATTCACAGGTGTTATACCTTGACAACAATAGCGAAAGATGGCACTGAAGCAGCCGAAATGTCCACCAGGCTTCAAAATCATCTGCGAGATGGTACATGTTATTTTAAATAGTGTTAGATGTTGTTTTATCCCTGGGGAACTACTATATAAAAAGGACGGGAGCACTCGTGAGAAATTTCGAAAAAAACCCGTCAAAAGTACCAAAATCTTGTTTTGTGGGCGTGCCTTGAATTTTTTTCACCCCTAAGAGGTACCATTTCTAGAACAACACGATAAAGACGATTACTTTGAATAGCTTCTACTCGTAAATTTAGTTGTCAGATCATGATATCCTGTTATATTTTTTCGGCTCAATACCCTAAAAGATACCTCAAAATCTCCCACTGTGGACCTTTTGAGGGTGAACACCTGAGAGGTACCAAAACCGCTGTCATAACCCCTGAAAGGTACAACGAGCCGCCCCGTCCTTTTTATATGGGACCCAAACCTGTAAAAGGATGACTTGAGGCGGATCGGAAAAATACCTGCGCATGTAAGCAGTTTATTTAGTGCGCGTAATTTCCAAAGATTCCAACAAAATGCAGAGACAAATTTTAAGCAAAATTAAAGCTTTGCACATTTTTCTTGTGCTCGTAAATGTCAGTCCTGTTTGTGATAATAAGGAATGATGAATGAGTTTTACCCAATAGCTTTCTTACACTGTGCATGGACTTAGTTAACACCTTTACCTTTTGTTTCAACAGCAAAATTTAAATACTCCTGGGTTATTATCCTGGCCGGTACAAACGACATCGCTCATAACAGCAAAACTCGTTACAGAAAGGACTGGGACACAGCGGTCGAGCGCATCATCAACCTCCACATAACTTCACATCGTCATGGCGCGAAAACAGTAGCAGTCACCATTCCTGAAATGGACTGCGAAGAATCTAAAAGACCAGCTTGTCTTCACTCGCATTTGGAAAGAAAATACATCAATGAAAAGTTAAGATATTATGCCAGATCGAATGAGTTTACTATCCTTTGCGACCTGGCGGTGAAATTTCCGAGGTATTCTTTGAGTATTGACGAGCGAAAAATGATGTGGGAAGTGGGACTGCACATGAAACCGGCAGGATATGAGCGTATGGCGGAGATCATTTACAAGGACCTGTTGGCTAATGTTTGATAACAGCAAGGAAATGAATTGTTGAACATTTATAAACCAATGAACCAGAAGAACTTAAACTTGAAACTTGACTGCTGTTTTTGTGACCATGGTTTACACGCAAACATGTTCTATAATGGATGCT